ATTTGAGAGAAACTGTAGCGAGAGCCTCCTTCTCTACCTTCAGCTCACCCACGCAAAACCCCAGCTGCTGCGCCCTGAATTATTCTGTTTCGCATTATCCGCTAGCACATCTCAGAGGTGAGACGGAGAGAGAGACACGTGATCCTCTGTTTCTATTCAGATGAGGAGCGTTACAGTAATGCTGGCAGATGAGCGCTGGACTGAAGGTCAGCGGAGCCTGTAACCTCCTCAAACACACACGCACGCACACACACACACACACACACACACACACACACACTCTCTCTCTCACACACACAGCTCAACACACTGCAAAAGCTGTTCTCACTCAGTGTCGCTGTACTGTTTTCCAGTACAAATAAATAAATTTCCCAGGAAAAGAGGTTTTTGCATCTTCAGTATCTTGACTTACAGTTTGTTTTCAGCTGCTTCCACACAAACTCTTCACTTGTCACACAGTTTCTGAAAGCTGACACTCAAACAGCAGAAGCACACACCAAATCTACAAAACCATACACTAATTCTCAGACTTTGACTCAGTTTTCAATTTCATGAAACACTTTTTGCAAAACACAACACAATTCTCTATGTAACACACAAATCTAACAGAAATTAATATTATAGCAAAGCTGTTTGCAAATGTTTGCTTTTGAGATGTGTTTGTGATATTTTGAATGCAGCGCTTCATTTTGCAAGAGATGAGAGGCTTTTTGCATTTTGTCTGCAATTCTTGGATTTGTGTGTGAAGTTATGAAAAAAAGAGGCAACGTTTTGAAAATGTGTGTAAGCTGTTGAAAAAAACCCTGTAAGAATGTTTAGATATTTGTAATAGATAACAAGACAAAGATACTGGGCAGAAAATGGATAAATTTAAGAGAAAACTTTGTTTAAGAATAAATAACCAGTGAAGGTTAGAGTCAGACCAGCAATTATGCTTAATAAATTGAGTAGCAGAAATCGTGATCGCGATTAAGATACGATTAATCGCACAGCTTTATCTGAACTGAATTGAGCTGAATAATGACACTACTGTCTTTACAGCACAATCTGAACTGAATTGATTCTAATATTTTCCATCCTGATCTAAGGAAAGTGCGTATCAATAGCACAAGTTTTTATTTCTATTCGGCATACTATTTATATGCAGAAATAGACTTTGGTGTGCACATGATACGCAATGCGTAGGATTAGGGTTGTGAGGTAGATGCGCACGCCAACAAACTGCGGATCATATGCACGGCAAAGTCCATTTCTGCGTATCAATAGCACAATTTTCTCTTTGTATTTGGCATACAATTTATACGCATTTTCATGAGAACGGGCTCTATTTTCTCGTTCATCACTGTGAAGCTGCTTCGAGACGATCTGTATTGTACAAAGCACTATAGAAATAAATGTGACTTGACTGTTTGCAGTGCGGTTAGAAGAGACTGATGATTACTCATCAAACACTGAATCTTTTACTTTACACTGTGCATCACTCAAATCCATTCATATTTTAAATAGAAGCTGTAAATAAATCTGCTGTTTCACACAATAATAAATCACTGTCATTTGTCAGAGACAAGAAGAGTGAGTGCCAGAAAGAGACGATGTGTTATTGAGCGTGTGAATCATAAACCAGTGCGCTTTCCGTCGCGTGACTTGCCTCACGCAATCATCTAATAACACTCGCCGGTAAACTCTCTCCCTCAAGCGATGTTTCTCCCAGAAAACACTGGGAAACTCTACTCTAGCTGCGCTTTACAGCGGCCGAAGCTCATTTCACATCACTGCCTCTGAACAAAAGCCACACGCATCCCGAAGCACGCAGCGCTGTCCGTCTGTGTCAGGAGGAGCTTTATTGAGTTTGAGTGATGCGTGCCGCTGGACTCCTGTTCTTTCTCCTGTTGACCAGCGCTAACGAGCCTCCACCGCGGACTAACACACCTGATACCATCCGGTTACATGGGTCTCTCTCCCGAGATCAAGCAGAGAAACACATTTACAGAGCAGGGAGCAAAGAGCTGCTCTCAGCGGATGGACCACAGGGTCATTTCTGTATAAATGTACTTCAGATACTCGCCTGCTTAACATTATATAATGCAGTGTTTGTTAATATTATGAATTTGTGTGTTACTGTGTTTGTGTTTGTTATGTTCTGTGTGATCGTCGCATTATCTTATATTATGTATGTTGTGGTATCATGTGGCTTCATGGTAAAAGCATCTGGACTGAAGCATTAATCTCCAGAAAGATAAAAGGACTTGTATATTATTAATCCCTCCAACTGACATCTGTATGATACAGAGAAAGCCTGTAAAACAAACCACACTAATATTTATCAACATTCATAAATCCATCCATCTATATATCATCCATCCATCCATATACATAAATACACTCACACAGACACACACTCACACAGACACACACACACACACACACACACACACACACACACACACACACACACTCTCACACACACACACACACACACACACACACACACACACACACA